GAAAAAGGAACTCACAACAGCTTTGTCAGCAGAATCTTGGATAAGAAACCAGGTCTCTTTCCCTCTCCCTCTCCCTCTCCCTCTCCCTCTCCCTCTCCCTCTCCCTCTCCCTCTCCCTCTCCCTCTCCCTCTCCCTCTCCCTCTCCCTCTCCCTCTCCCTCTCCCTCTCCCTCTCCCATCTCCATCTCCATCTCTTTCTGTCACTCTCACTGTTGCTCTGTCTCCACCCCCTTTCCTCCCTCACTCCTGGTCCTCCTCTCTCCTCTATTTTCTCTTTGATCTCTGCCCATCTATCTATGTATCGTCGACCTATTTATCTACCTATGTGTAGTCTACCTCCTCTCTAGTAACAAGCAAATAGGTTTATTATGATCATAATTATAATCAGAAGAAATTAGTCTTCATGAGAATCCAACTGTAGCCCCAAATTCCTGACACCCTAATAGGTTTTTGCTGAAGAAATGAATTAATCATCTTAGATAACAAATCTTACTGTTATTTTGCTCTGTTTTTCATAATGTTGGAGATGGAAATAGGAGGTACCAAGAGTCAGATAACCCCAAGATTGTATCCTCAGGAGGGTATGTTTACATCATTTTAAAGAAACTTCATGGAGGGGGAAAATCTCTGCTACATATAAAAAGCCCAGCTCCTGTTACCAGCCCTGCTGCCAACTCTTACTGTTCTCAGGAAGCAGATGTCTTACCTGCTCCAGCTCTCAGTTTTCCATTAAGTAAAATGGGTGAAGGCTCTGGCATAGTACACATTGTCTCACATACCCACTGCAAAAACACTAGGTGAGTATTCTCTCCAGTTTTCCTTTGGATGAGGAAAGTGAAGTTCAGAAAGGTCAGGTTGTTTTATTTTATTTGAGTCCTATATAGCTTATATATGGTAAAGTTAAGGTTTGAAAACTTACCTTTGCCTGCTCAAAACCTTTGCTCTTTGCAGTGCCCTTTATTGGGTTTCTAAAGAGAGGTCAGGGTTTATGGCAGGTCACTCTTGGATTGGGTGAGCTTTATTATATCTAAGTTGGCCATATTTACCAGAGGTCGGAGCTACTGAGAAGTGCTGAGCTTGTGTTTCTTTTGTGCTTGAACTGCCAGGCATGCTAGTGGTCACTGGAGTCCTCAGCTGGCTCAAACCCATCCTTAAATAATTGAATTATAATGAATTGATTTATTCTGGCTCTTTTGATAGTATTTCACTATGTAAACTGTTTGCAGAAATAAACAAGGGATTTTGGAGCTTGGAAAGAGCTCAACATTCTGTTGCCCCTGAATTCAATGACTCCTTTTCAGTCAGCAACAGAGAAATCCAAGTCATTCCTCCTTGATCTCGGCTCTTTCTAGAGGGGGGAATATTGCTTGAAGCTGTTTGAAATGAGTGCTGACTTCACAAGCTGACTTAATGCAGCCACCAAGGAACAAACTGGCCCCTCAGAAGAAGAATTTTTTTTTCTTGATGATTATTTTGGAATATACCAAGCTCACTTACGTTCATTTCCTGGGAGAATTCAATGGTTATCCTGAGAGGGTATCCTGGTAGGGACTCTCATTTCTTTTTTTCTTTTCTTTTTTTTTTTTTTTTTTTTTTTTTTTTGACAGGCAGAGTGGACAGTGAGAGAGAGACAGAGAGAAAGGTCTTCCTTTGCCATTGGTTCACCCTCCAATGGCCGCCGCAGCCGGAGCACCACGCCTATCCGGAGGCAGGAGCCAGGTGCTTCTCCTGGTCTCCCATGGGGTGCAGGGCCCAAGCACTTGGGCCATCCTCCACTGCACTCCCTGGCCACAGCAGAGAGCTGGCCTGGAGGAGGAGCAACCGGGACAGAATCCGGTGCCCTGACTGGGACTAGAACCCGGTGTGCCGGCGCCACAAGGCGGAGGATTAGCCTACTGAGCTGCGGCGCCGGCCCTGGGACTGTCATTTCTACATTACAAATGGGGAGCCAGAGGCTGAGAAATAAAACTCATTGTCCAAAGTTAAATAGCTAATACATGTGACAGAAATCAGACCCTGGCCTTTGGCCCTACACAGATTTCCACTCCATTGTACTTGAGTTTATAGAAGAAGAATGTCTTTCAACACACAATACCCTTATGGTGACTAAATGTTCTGATTTGCATAGGGCATAAAAATTTTTTACCAGGATATGTGCTTATTGTCTGAACATATTTTTTGAAAGGTTTAATTGCTTATTTATTTGAACAGGCAGAGAGAGAGAGAGAAAGGGAGAGAGAGAGAGAGAGAGAGAGAGAGAGAGAGAGAGAGAAAATCTCTCCACTGGTTTACTTCCCTAATGGCTACAATGGTCTGGGCTAGTCCAAACTGGAACTCCATCTGAGTCTCCTACATTGGTGTTAGGGGCCCAGGTACTTGGATAATCTTCTGCCGCCTTCCTAGGTACACAAGCAGGGATCTGGATCAGAGGTGGAACAGCCAGGACTCAAATTGTATAGGATGCTGGCATTGCAAGCAGAGGCTTAACCCACTGCACTATCATGCTGGTCCCTGGATATAATTTTCAGTAGCATCACTATCACTGTCAAAGTACTGTAGTTTGGATGACAGTTTATGATGTAACTGTAAGATATTGGAAAGGGACTATATTTCAAGGAATTTGAGATCTTTCAGAGGAGCTATATCATGTAGGCATGATAGCAGCACAATGTGATAAATCTTAAGGTGGAAGTCTTTATGAAATAGGCACACACAATAGAGGGGATATTTAGCTTTGCCTAGAAAAGTTGAGGAAATAGTAAAGAAGTGGTGACAGTTGCTAAAAGGTGGACAGGGCGATCTTTTTCAGATGGCCACATCCAGATTTCTTCTCATGTTGTTTGGTGCTGAAATTCTGAGAAACATGCATAGATCACACCTGCTCAGTAGGCATCTTGCTACTGGCTCTGTGTTTCTGTGATCCTCATCCCTGCAGCAAAGTGGGAATCAATGCAGCCAGCTGCAGCTTTAAATCATGCCAACCAGAAACCCTTGCTGTGGTTTGAATTACATGGGAGCTTGAATTCACTTGGTCTTTAACTAAAATTCCTAAGGTATCCAACAAGCCCTCAGAAGCCTAGGGCATTAGACAGGAAGGGCTCCTGGAGTCCCAGTAATCTAACCCCTCCTCTGCTCTAAGAAGGAAAGAGACTTGTTTAAAGGAACAGAGAAATTTGGTTTCATAGCTGGGACTGAAGCCAGCTTGTGTATCAGTTCACTCTTTATGCAAAACTTAAATTCTCTTTGGAGTTAAATAAACCCATTTGTGACTGTGAAGCTCTGTGGTGTCAAGTAATGTATCCAGTACTTAGAAATTGAAAGCCTGATTTGAAGACCCGGATCTGGCATCGACCCATTGCGTGACCTTGGGTGGGTTATTAAAGAGGTGTGCAATCTCAGGTTCCTCATCTGGAACACTAAAACCATAATGAGAATGATGAACATACCTTTCTCATGAGATTGCTGTAAGGTTCACTTGAGGTAATGAAGGCAGAAGTGTCTAGGAACTTTTCTTTATTGTGGTAAAAAAAGATATATACAACATGGGATATACCCTCTTAATAAATTTTTTTTAAATTATCTAAGGGGCCAGCACTGTGTCATAATACACTAAGCATCTGCTTGTGGTGTTGGCATCCCACATGGGCACTGGTTTGTGTCCCGGCTGCTCCTCTTTTGATCCAGCTCCCTGCTATGGCCTGGGAAAGCAGAAGATGGCCCAGGTGCTTGGGCCTCTGCACCTGAATGGGAGACCTGGAAGAAACTCCTGGCTCCTGGCTTTGGATAGTCCTAGTTATAGTCGCTGTGGCCAATTGGGTGAGTGAACCAGTGGATGGAAGACTTTTCTCTCTGTCTGTAACTCTACCTCTCAGATAAATAAATAAAGTCCTTAAAAATTATTTAAGATGGAGAGAGATATACAGAAAGAGTGAGAGAGAGAGAGAGAGAGAGAGAGAGCACTCCGTTCTCTGGGTACATTCCTCTAATGTCTACCATGGCTGTGCTGAGACTGGAGCCAGGGGCCAGGAACTCAATCCAGGTCTCCCATGTGGTGACAGGAACACAATTATTTAAGCCATCACAACTGTCTCCTAGTGTCTACTTTAGCAGGAAGCTGGAGTCAGCAATCAAAACCAGGAATTGAACCCAGGTACTCTGATGTGTAATGCATGCATTTTTAACTGATAGGCCAAACACCCACCCTTCTGAGCACATTTTTAAAATGTACAGTAAGTACTTCTAACTATAGCAATTTTGCATTATATATTTTCTAGAATTTTTTCATCTTTCATAGCTGAAACTCCTTACCCATTGAACAGCAATTCTCCCTTCCCCTCCCACAGACCCTGGCAAGCACCCTTATACTTTCTGTTTCTATGAGTTCCAAAATAAATACTCATGTAAGTGGAACTATGGGCTTATTTGTCAATGACTGGCTTAATTGTCTCAGCATAATGTCCTCAAGGTTCCTCTACATTGTTGCAAATGGCAGGATTTCCTTATTTTTAAAAGATTTATTTATTTATTATTTGAGAAGTAGAGTTACAGACAGAGAGAGGGGGAGACAGAGAAAGCTCATCCATCCACTGGTTCACTTCCCAAGTGGCCACAATGGCTAGAGCTGAGCTGATCCAAAGCCAGGAGCCAAGAGCTTCTTCTGGGTCTCCCACATGGGTGTAGGGGCCCAAGTATTTGGGCAATCTTTGATTGCTTTCCCAGGCCATAGCAGAGACCTGGATTGGAAGAGAAGCAACCGGGATACAAACCAACACCCATATAGGATGCCAGCACTGTAGGCAGAGGCTTTAGCCCACTGTACCACAGCACCAGCCCTGGGATTTCCTTGTTTTTAAAGGCTGATTAATATTCCATGGTGACTAAAGATGATGGGCTTGTCTGGGCTGATGGTTTTGATAGTATAGTTCCATAGCTACTGGATAGCTGAGGCCAAGGAATAAATATCTACCTTTTCTCTCCCTCTCTATGTCCATCTCCTGCAGATCAACCCAGTCGGTGCTATTTCCATGATGGTGACGGGGTATGTGAAGAGTTTGAACAAAAAACTAGCATTAAGGACTGCGGTGTCTACACACCCCAGGGGTTCCTGGATCAGTGGGCATCCAATGCTTCAGTGTCCCATCAAGACCAGCAGTGCCCAGGCTGGGTCATCATTGGGCAGCCAGCAGCATCCCAGGTAAGATCTCAGCCATGTGTGACATTTCCTGCAGACATTCAGCATCTCTGCTCTGCCTCTCAAAGCTGCCCTCTTCGAAGCCAGCATCACTGGATGGCGCCACTGAAGCATCTTTTGAGCCACATGTGATTTTTATGGCTTCATGAGTACCATTTGTGATGGGTTAGGCATGGAATAGTTAAAGGTAGGAAACATTGTTCGAGTAATGACTGCAACTCCTATTTGGGACAAGAAGTCCATTGTGGCTGTAACACTGAAATTTAATTGGGTAAAAACAAATTCATTTTGGGAAGTCCTACTTTTGGGGGGAATGTCAAATTGTGTGCTGCCTGAATTAATGGATAATTACCATGAATTTGTTGTGTGGCCTTGGATTACTCCCTACCTCTCTGGGCCCCATCCCTCCTGACTCTATCTTTTAAAAGAGAGAGTAGTTAAGTTTTATGGTCTCCAAGGACTTTTCCAATTCTAAGAAGCTGTAACTTATTCTTCAGTCTCCTAATGTGCTATTTATGTGCCGTGGTTCTTCCCCTGAGGACTGACAGCTTAGTTGTGGGAGCAGGAGTTTTGGGGCCACCAGAGCTTGTATGATTCTAGGGATGGCCAAGCAGTCTCCAGGGCCTCCTTTCCAATTATCCTGCAGAGCAAGCACCTGCCTTCTTTGGAGACTCCCATTTCCCAGAGACACTCCTTAGTGTCTCTGCTGCCTGGCCCAGTGGCCATTTCTGAACCCAGCCTGCCTGCTGACCTTGCAGATAAGCAGTGATCCCATGCAGTTCTGTGTTGATTCATGGTACTCCTTAATGCAGATTTACTGGGGTAAGCTTGGTGCCTGGATGAGGGAGGGACAGGGCCCAGGAAGAATCACTGGATGAGACACAAGATGAAAAGGACCACCTCACTTGTTAGTTATAGCATTTGTTTTATAATTTATCCATTCATCTTTTTGCTTAGGCTTATATGATTAGATCTTTTATTTATTCATTTGCATTTATTTCTGAATGCCCTGAGGAGAGTGGAAAGAAATGGGAATATGGCATTCTTTGGTGCCTCCCTGTACATATTGTGCCAGTCAGGTGAGCAAATGAATGACTGCATGTGAGTCTGACTAGTGTTCATTCTCCCTGTGCCTCCTCTGCACTTGGTGAACTCACGTGCATGGTACAGTTTATCACTCTAAGGATCTGTTTGTGTGTTTTGTTTTCAAATCAGGCTCCTAGCTCTTTGTGGATAGGTTTGAGTTTTATTCATCTTTGTCCTTCAAGAACACGATTTAGATAAAACTAGGTGCTCATGAAATGTGTATTTAATTTACTCTGGGTACAACCACAAACATGTACATATGAAGGCACTTCAAAAATTTGTGGAAAATGAAATTAAAATGATAAGCTTTCTTTGGTTTGAAGGATTGGAAATCCTGACATCCAAGAACATACAGGTTGCTACATGGACAGTAGCAATGTAACGTGGAGGATCAAGCCTCTCTATCACAAGGAAAGTCTTGCTTGGGTTACCAGGAATTCCTAACTCATTGCTAGCATCCAGTTCTTAGAAATGTTTTTAAAGCATCATTCAAAGAAGGGAGTTATTAACCCCTTGGAAACTCACCTGAACAAGAGTTGAGGTAGCAGCTGTGCTTTAAAAAATCACCCAATGGTTATTCCTACTAATGTGAGAAAAGGAGAGAGAGAATTTTCAGGTCTTAACATTTGAAAGGAGACTTCAATGGGGGCAATTACTCCAATCTTGTAGGCAGGGCCTATCAGGAATTATGGGTGATTATCTCTTCCTAAACAAAAATCCAATTAAAAAAATCATTATAAATACTAGCTCTTCGATCTACAAAGAGGAGATGAGGAAACAAAATCAGCCTATTGAATTATTCATTGTAACCAATTTTATTTTAATGAAATCGACTAGGTTCCATTACTCTGGGCTTGGACATAATCTTTGTTACAAGGAGACTTCAGCTGTAACTAAATTTGCCATAATGAGATCAGCTCCCTGGAGAATACAGGGTCAAAGGAGGGGATATGCATGCAGGCTGGGTGCAGGACCAGGCAGAGGGTGGCCTAGAGGGTGCAGAACAAAAGTCTCGTGTGTTCCTCATCTGAAAGCAAATGCCTGGAAGTCATGCACACATGTTCATGCAATGCACATGCACACAACCATGCACATATTTACACGCAAACACCACTGTGAACCCATTTACATGCCTATGTACACATGTACCACCACATACACAGACATGCACACATGCCCCATGCATACATGTGCAGGTGCACACAAAAACCCACCATGCATAATTTGCATACACATGCCTATATGCATACATACACACTAGGATGCACACATACACCCCACCACTCACATGTGTACATGCACGTGCACACACTCATTCACATGTACATGCACATATACAGCACACCACCATGCACAGACATGCACACACACAGAGCCTTTATATTTTGGCATAAAGGCTATTCTTGAAGTAGAAATACAGTTCTCTTCCTACAACAGAGGAGGATGTGTAACCCTGTCCTTCATTATTTTGTGCAGTGATTAAGGGAGACTAGTGGTTAATTTTCACCCTGTCAGGATCTCCAGTGAAGATGTTGATGGCTTGAGATGAGGAGCTGGGAGGTTCTTAGAAGTTGGGATTAAGAATAATATGGGACAATTTAGCATGCACCCCTCGCATTCCCCCAGAACAATTATACTCTGCCCTTCTCTCTTTCTCTCTCTCTCTTTCTCTCTCTCTCTCTCACTCTCTCTCTCTCTCTCACACACACACTCACACATACATTCACACAAAAATTCAAACATGAACAGGCCCTGGAGGAGCATGGATCCAGACAGTGAGTATGAAAACAGATGGAGAAGAACAGCCACACTACACTGTACTGGACACCTCATAGCCAGGTCCTTCACCCAACATCATGGTAGATATCATTATCTACCTTGGGGAAACTATGAATTACAGTGGCTTCTCCAATAAGTCACGGTACTTGTAAATAGGGAATCTAGGAACAGAAGGATCTCATGGAAGATGACTGAGTGTTTGAGAACAGAGTTGGAAGTAATTGAATTCCTAGTTGACTTCACGGGGAAACACGCAGGGAGTCCTGGAGGGACAGATGGTGGGGCTGAGTATCAGTGAGCAGAACCCCTGAGGTGCTTGAATTCTCCAGTAGCAGACTCGTTGTCACTGGGTGTGCCTTCGGATTCAGGCTATTTCTATTCCTTGCCAAGGTGGCCTTATTCTGCCATCTCCTAGGTTCATTAGGATAAAATGTTAACTTGGGGAATGGTGGAATGACAAGTTTTCCTGTTTCCTCTTTAAAATCCAGTATTGTCTCATTCTCTGTCTTTGCCTGTAAAACTGATAAATGCAGGTGTTTGCTGGAGGTTTGTGCCTATCTCTGTGCTAGAGCCTGTGGAAGAAACCCAAGTTTAAGACCCAATCTCTATCCTAGTAAATGTGCAAGGCCTAGGTGTGAGAACTCTGTCAAGTGGCATGGCGCTAACAGAGCAAGTCCACAGCCTCTTGTGACTAGTTTGAAGACAGACTCTTGCAATATTGATTAGCACTTCAGTTGTGATTTCATGTAGCCCATGACTTCTATGGTTTCCAGTCTCTCTTGGTCATCCCCCTCAAACAAGATTCCCAAATTTGGTTAAGGCAAAGCTAACCCTGAACATCCAGTTTTGTATCCAATCGTTATCAGAAGTATCAAAACTTCCTTGTTGTGCAAATTGGGCTGAACATTCTATAATAAGAGACATTCTTTGGATGTTTTGGTCATGCACCTTTCTGGCCCAGCTAGAAGCAAGAAGTTCCTGAGACAGAACAAAAATGGAAATGAACTGAAAGAATCAAGTTCTCTCTCTTCTGGGAACCTCAGACATGGTTTGGTTTTAAGTGCTTGCAAAGATCTTGTCTTGTTTTGTCTCCATGTTTTGCATTTCTCTAATGCTTTACACCAAAGGCTGCCAAAATGAGACGCAGATATTCCTTCCTTCTGCCTTCACCCCTAACGTTTTCGCTGAAACCCATTTCTTCCTGTAAAAACAAGCACCTCCCCCCATTGCAGTGGCCTGAGGAGGACGTGGAAACACTAATACTATCTGGAATTCACAGTGCTGTCCTAGGACTTCAGACCTTTAAGCAACAAACCAATTTATTTGGCTAATCCTTTGAGGGCAAAACTTAAGACTAAGCATTTCTGGGGCAGTTGTTTAATGGCCAAAGTATAGCAAACCTTTATAAGAAAGAGAACTATCTCCAGCGGAGTGGATGGCCTTGTGATCAAGCAAGCTCCCCATCATGAGCCATTTAAGTTGGGTTATTAATTGAATAGGAGATTCCTGCATCAGAAGGCAGGTGAGACCTAGGCATCTGTCCTTTATCTGTAATTGATTCTCTGACTTCATATTACATTAACCCATTACCAAGTGTCTCAGTCCTTTGGCACTACACTTTGAGTTGCTATTATCTATTCTTTTACATATCCATACTACTCATTCTATAAACCATAATGTGTCATGTGTCACAATAATTTATGTATTGACTGATTATTTCATAAAACATATATATATATTTGAGTCCTGTGCTGAGGAATGTGAAGGGAAAGGGAATGAAGTGAAGGGGAAATCATGGAGATACAGCTTTGCCCTCTCAACTTCTGTTTTTTCTTGGGAACCTTGAATAAGTAGCTCCAGTGGGAACCTCAGTGTCATCTTCTAGAATGTGGGAATGATAACGTGTACCTAGTGAAAATGAGGTGGATAACATCTACTTGGTGCAAGTTAAGGATTCAGAGAAAAATCTCAGTCTTGTTTTGTTTTGTTTTGTTTTGATTGTCACTTATTGGGTAGTGCAGATATTAATTCCTTGTCTCATTCATGTGAGGCTCCCCTTTGTACTTTGACCCCAAAGCGGGCCACAGTGACTCACACAATCCCAAAGCTCAATAGTCCCTTGAGTTAGACAATCAAAT